TCAGAAATTTGAGAGTTTGGGAATTCAGAAATTTGAAAATTCGTGAGATTAGAAATTTGAGAATTTAGGAAACTTAGAAATTTAAAAATCTGGGAGTTTGAGAACTCGAGAAATTCGAAATTTGTAAATTTGGGAGTTGAACAGTTCGACATTCAACCATTCAATTCTTCTTTCTCGATCCACACAATTCAGCGAAATTTCCATCGAACAACCGTGCTACAAAGGACACTTAACTTGCGTTACAAGCTTTTTTGCATGAATCTACAGAGCAGTACGTCTATAAAAAGGCCGTTTGCTTCCACCGTTCGTAGAAAGTTTCCGCAATTTAACGTCGCTGGAACGAACACTGTTGTCACTGGACTTGTTAACTTTTGTAATTAAAAAATATGTCACCAGAACATTTGCATCAAACAACCAAGACAGTTTACATAAAATAAAGCTTCCACTGACCTCCCTAACTCTCTCTCTCTCTTTTTTATTCTACACTTTTTCCCCCCCATCCAATCTTTAAATTCTCGAGTCCAAATTTGCATTTCTCCGGGTTTCAAACTTTCCGAGAATAGATTTTCCCAGATTTCTTCTTTTTTCGATCGCGAATTCACTGTGTTCGACGCGAGAGCTTCTTTCAGGTCGACGAGAAAGAAGAAAAGAGACACTGATATCGCGTATTCAAGGTGAATTTATTTAACCACTTCAACGAGCCAGGCCGTTTAAAAGCGAGACACGTGGCGAGCCACTTTCGATGTAAAAACACGTTTCCCGCATTGACGTAACACGTCCAGGCTTTTCTTCTCCGTTCTAAAGCGGTGTACGCGTTTCTGAAAAAAGAAAAAAAGAAAAAAAGAGGTTTCTACCTCCTTTGCCGCTTTTATTCGTCGTCGTAACGTTTACACGGTTACCCGTTTCCAGTGCACAGATCGATTCTCGAATATTCTCTTCTACAGTCGAGGCTGGAAATGTAGACGAAATGTTCTCGACGCATTAATGTTCCTTCGAAGAAAATCTCTCGAATTCGGGAGAAGAGTATTTTTTTAAATGAATTTGGGATTTAAAAATTTGGAAAATTGAGAGTCTGAGAATTTGGGACCTTCAGAGATTGGGAATTTGAGAATTTGGGACTTAGAAATTTGGAAATTTCAGAGTTTGAGAATATTGGAGCTTGAGAGATTGCGAATTCGAGAATTTGGGACTTAGAAATTTGAAAAGTTGAGAGTTTGCGAATTTGGGACTTTGAGAGATTGGGAATTTGAGAATTTGGGACTTAGAAATTTGGAAATTTCAGAGTTTAAGAATACTGGACCTTGAGAGTTTGGGAATTCGAGCATTTAGGACTTAGAAGTTTAGAAATTTCAGAGTTTGAGAATTTGGGACCTTGACAGATTGGGAGTTCGAGAATTTGGGTACATAGAAATTTGAAAATGTCAGAATTTGAGATTTTGGGACTTTGAGGGATTGAGAATTTGGGAACTTACAAATTTGGAAACTTGAAAGATTGAAAATTTGGGAATTTGGGGCCTCTAGAGGTTAACAGTTTGAGAATTTGGGACCTCCAGAGATCAGAGAGAAGAGAACAATCTCCCCTTCCACCTTATAAATTAAAAAAAAATTCCGAACCTACTTTTTCAAAATAAAATCCCCAAAAAACTCAGTTCACACCAGCATCCACTCACAACTCACTCCAACCAAGCAACAAATCGCTACTTCAAAGTCCAAACTCTCAAGCACAATGCTCAACAACTTCACTACACAGATCTGTCCTTAAAACTCCTAAAAAAAAATACAATTCAAAGATAAAAGCGAAAGAGAAGAAAGAGGATGGTGAAAAGAAGAACGGAGAGATGGAGCTTCAATTACGTTGTTCGAAAGGCCACGACAGGTCTGTCGCGAGATATTTAATTAATCCGTCCTCTTGTCGCTTTCTTAAGGGGATGGTCTCTCGACTTGGCGAGACGGAAGTTGAAACGGGGCCGCGCAACAAGCCCCGGGAGACTTCGGGCAAACGGAAACCATGGTGGAAGGGTATTCAGGAAAATCGTCGGAAGTATTAAGGGGTGAGTTGGTGGGGGGAGAGAGAAAACGCAAAAGATTCGAAAGGTAGAGAGGGGAGAGTGTAGTAAAATAAAGTAGCTAGTGGTGACACGGTTGATATCGAACGACGACCCGTACGTAGGCTGTGAGAGTAGATTGAAAGGAATTTAATTCACGAGTCCGTCTCTTCGATTCGGCTTGATCCGCCTCAGCCCTCTCTCTCTCTCTCTCTCTTCACTTCACATTCGTCTCTCTACCTTTTTCGTTTCTCCACATTAAACTTTTAAAGGGAGATATCGATCGACTGCACCACAGGAGAATCATAGCTGGCGTTTTGATAATAATAAGATCGCCTCTCTCTCTGTTCCAATGGAAGACGATTCGATGTCGGAGAGATATTGCTGGATGCAATTCTTATTACGATAATTGAAGAATTTAATAGTGCAAGGGTTTGGAGGGGTCGATGGTCTAAGTTTTTGGAGGTCGAAGTGTGTGGGGGGATGGAAAGTTTAATTGTCTGGGGGTTTGAGGGTCCAGTAGTTAAGAAACTTGGGCATATGGGAATTTTAGTGAGTAAAGGTGTAATGTTCAAAGATATAGATGTTTAGAGGTCTGAAGATTTAGAGATACAGGGTCCTTAGGTCCAAATATCCAAAGGTTTATTAGTCAAGGGGTCCAAGAATCCAAAGATCCAAAGTTTATGACTCAAAGGGTCCAAGAATCCAAAGATCCAAAGGTCTGTGCCTACAAGAGTCCAAAAATCCAAAGATCCAAAGGTCTATGATTGAAAAGGTCAAGAATCCAAAGGTCTATGACATAAGGGTCCAAGAATCCAAAGATCCAAAGGTTCACGACTAAAAGGGTCCAAGAATCCAAAGGTCTATGATTGAAAGGGTCAAGAATCCAAAGGTCTATGACATAAGGGTCCAAGAATCCAAAGATCCAAAGGTTCATGACTCAAAGGGTCCAAGAATCCAAAGGTCTATGATTGAAAGGGTCAAAGAATCCAAAGGTCTATGACATAAGGGTCTAAGAATCCAAAGATCCATGACTCAAAGGATCCAAGAATCCAAAGATGAACCTCTGAAGGTTTATAAAATTGAAGATCGAAGGACCTAAGATCTCATAGCTCACGAATCGCAGCACGATATTTATTAAACGAATCCTAGAATTCGATTAGCGCAGTAAAGCCTGTCATTTCATCTCATAATGTAAATGCACTGTGCGTGACGTGGTTCCTTTGGAACGCAGCCGAACGAGAAACGTCGTTCATTGAAAATGCGCTCTGGCTGGAAACTCGATAAGCAACTTTTTCCACAACCCGGGTGCCACTCGTCCCGTGAAAATCTTACGCGGTTCGTGTGTCAAACCATGACGTCTGCCCCGATTCGAAAACGCCCACTCTCTTTCTCTCTATCTCGCGAAAAGACATTTTCGTGTTCGATCCTTTCGTTCTCCTGTCAAAGGACGACGCTTTTATCTCGAGCGGAGGAAAAAAAAACAACGACGACTTTCTAATATCCAATTTGGACAAAAGAAGAGCGGAGAAAATGGAATGTTTCACCGGTATCATTCTCATCGACAACTTGACGTGTTTCCGCGGAAGATTAACGTGCGCGAATCGTTGAAACAACGAGAGAAATTGAACGGAGGGAACGATATGAAAAAAATTCCGGCGTGCGTTGGTTAAATGGCCCAGCTTCTCGTCGCTCTCCCTTTTGTCCCTCGATGTAAAAACATTTATCCCGGGGTGAAGGGAATAACAGGCATTCCACGTGCGCGTGGCACAAAAAGACGAACAAAGAGAGCGAATTGTGTGAAAGGATCGAGTAAAAAATACCGCGGAAAATTTCGACTCGATGGAAGAGGTTTGCTTTTGTTAAAATTCAACGCTTGCGGTGAAAAACGATGCGTCGGAAATTGGTATTTCGCGGCCAATCGCTGAATACGTGTGGTCGGAAGTGAAAGTAACAAAAATTAGATTTTTTGGGAGTGAGAGGATTTTGGAATCCGAGAGAGCAATGGGTCCAAGAATCCGAATATTCGAGAGTCCAAAGGACACAGTCTGAGGGCCCAAAGACCTAAGGATCCAGGGTCCTAAAGTTCAAGGATTCGAGTTCAGGATCTAGAGTCCAAAGATCCAAGGATTCAAGTCCAGAATCCAGAGTCTAAAGATCCCAGGATCCAGAGTCCATAGATCCCAGAATCCAAAGATCCCAGGATCCAGAGTCCAAAGATCCCAGGATCCAGAGTCCAAAGATCCCAGGATCCAGAGTCCAAAAGTCGCAGAATCCAGAGTCCAAAGATCGCAGAATCCAGAGTCCAAAGATCGCAGAATCCAGAGTCCAAAGATCCCAGGATCCAGAGTCCAAAGATCCCAGGATCCAGAGTCCAAAGATCCCAGGGTCCAGAGTCCGAAGGTCCAAGGATCCACGTCCAGGACTTCCACGTCCACGTCCAAAGATTCGAGGACCCAATCAAGAAAGGAGTCCAAGAATCCAAAGATCAAAGAGTCCAAAGGCCCAAGTATCCAACATTTCAAGAATCCAAGTGTCCAAGGACGAAAAATCTAAAGGATTAGCAGCTTCAACAATCCAGAAATCTCATTTTCACGGGTACAAATTTTCTACGACCATATTCAACTGTTGAATCAGCAAGAAAATAAACCGAGCGTGTGCACAGCATGCGTGCACGAGCGTGCCTCTTCGTGCAAATAAACAGCAGCGTTGCTCGTTGCGCCATCGATATTCATATCCGAGCGCGAAGCATCAATAATTTCGGAAATACTGCATGTCTCACGCTCGCGGGATCTCTCGACATGCAAATTACACCCGGGAATCACGTGCCTCTCGTTGATTTATTCATTGTCCCGTTCGTCGTGTGTCGCGTATATCCTCCCCTTCTTTCTTTTCTCAACCGAATAATTTCCATTTTTATCTATAAATCAACAACCCCTCGCGCGAAATATTTCTCTAATACGAAACGATATTCTCCCTTTTTTTTTTACCCAACAGACAATTCGACGATTTCATTCAAGCGCTATATTAACCCTTTCGATCCTCTATCGTCTCTTTGCTGAAAAACATAGTACGACTATATGGAACGCGTGCATTTAGGCTAGTAATACTTTTGTTCGCTTATACAGGGTGCTCACTCTAACTTTTCACGCAATTTTTCACTCATTTACACTTCAATAAAGAATAAATATTAACCAAAACTTATCTGTTTTAAGTGGACAACATATAACGATAATAAAAATTTCGAAAATTTAATTAGTTGGTAAATTTAGTTCGATTAAATTTCAAAAATTTAATCGGCAGATATTTTCATAGTGAATGCAAGGACACTTTACATTTTTTAAACCAAACCATACAATTTCTTTCCATCGTACTATAGAAAACATTAAAACCAATTCAGAAAGCACTCTACATTGTAACTTATGAACACCCCGTATATTTAACTATTTAATTCAACGCACAAGCATAAATAAAACAATGTAACTGATATTACCGTGTAAAAGAGTGTATCTACTTAATTAAATTTCATTATTCGAGTACTATATACCGGGTGACTCTAATCGTCCACACAACCAAACGACTCAAAATACGTCACTTAACCTCCAAAATGTTGTCTCAATCGACGTATATACTTCCAGCCCAAACCAACGACCAACTAAATTCGCCGTTCAGGCCATTGTTCTCCTTCATCGCAGAAAACAGACGTCAAAGGAATAGAAAATAAACGTCGACTTCTTTTTCCCCCACTGTTTTACGAGCCCTTCTCCATTACGGTCGCGGATTATGTTACGATCCGGTGTCGCGCAATAAAACCACTCGATGGCCCGTTACCGTTTCGCGCCAACCCATAAACCCATGGGGGTGCGCCGCGTGCGCTGTCACGCGGGACAATTCACCCTTGACCCAGTCTCGCCCGCGATCCGGACACACCAGGGTGAAATAACTCGTGGGAAAATGGCGGGAAATTCGATTCGAACAGACAGGTGAACGTTATCCTATAATCGATCAACCTTCCACCCCTCCAGAGATCGAACAAGATTAATCAAGGAACCCTCGCTCTTTCTCACCCTCGTCCATTCAATTTCGCGTTTTTCGTCGATAATTACGTAAACTCGCCCTTCTGGGCTGGGGAAAAGAGGGAGGCAGTTTACGTAACGCTGTACTCGCGATCGTTAACGCGGCCGAGCGAACGCAAGGACTGGGGACAGGAGGACTTTAAGTGGGGTGAAGAAGTGTATTGTAAGAGTAAAGAATTACAGGCGTGGAGAGGGAGGCAGTTTACGTAACGCTGTACTCGCGATCGTTAACGCGGCCGAGCGAACGCAAGGACTGTGACGGGGACAGGAGGACTTTAAGTGGGGTGAAGAAGTGTATTGTAAGAGTAAAGAATTACAGGCGTGTAAGAAATGCGAGATTTCGGTGGCGAAGTGGTGGCCCGGACTTTGTCACCCAGGAAGAGAAAGCGCGAGGGTACCTGAGGGTACCATAAACTAAGCCCTTTCCCCGGAAAGTCGAACGAGGGGGCTCCAACGGGACACAATAAATCTGAGTGTGAATTATTTACTCCTTTAATATTTGCCAATTTAGAAAGCTAGAATTAAAATTAATTATTCCATTAGGACCACAATTTGACTCCTTTCTCCCAAATCAAGGGGTCAAAGGTGATACCACGCATTTCCAAGGATTCCACTCTCGATTTTACGATCGAAGAAGATGAAGAACATCCTTAATGAAACCGTGGCGTATTAAACACACCCGATTGCTCCAATCTCCCCCTGAAAAATTTCCTTCTCCCTCTGGAGAACGTTCCAGCTGTTTTACCGCCCGCGCCGTAAAAATTCGCGGAAAAATTCCCCGAAGAAAGATTTCGTTATATCGCCCGCATAAAGCAGAGCCGGTTTTCGCGGATGAAATCGAAGCTCCTCGAGGAATTACGAGAGATCGTCGGAGCGTGGTTCTCGTTCGATCGTAATCACGTGGGACAAAGGAAACAAAGAAGAGAGAGAGAGAGATGAGCGTGGAGGATTCGTTTCGTTCAGCGGCGCATCCAAAGGTCCAATCACAGTTTCAAAAAACCAACAAACGACGAACGTGACGTAGTCGTAAATCGGTCGGACGATCGAGGCACACGCCACTTTCCACGAAAAGATCGTCGCGATCACCGGCACCGAATCGCTCTGGCAATTACTCAGGGATTGGCCGGCGTGTTTTTCACCTGAGCACTCTCCAGAAACGATTGCTTTCCAGTTGAATGTCGTCTCCTGCTGTTTGGCTGTTTGTTCAACGAGAATACAGGGTTTGTTTTTCAGGTTCTTCTCGTTTTTTCCCTTTTTTTCGGGGAGGAAATCGATCAGAAGGTTGGTGTTTCTGACGAGAATACGCGTCTGCTTGTCGCCCGCGTATGTCCTTACGACCGTTTAAGGTTATAAGGATATTAGGGGGTGCGCGGTAATGATGTTTAATCGTGAAGGAAATAATTCGTTTTATACTATTTAATGAAGCAGTTGAATGATGGATTAGTGGTGTGGATGATGTGCGTTGAACTAGAGATTACGATGTTTCTCTTTGATGTCTGGTGATGGACTGACTCCCTCACGAATTTCTGCGTCGAAGGAAATTCGTGAGCCGGTCTTGTCACCTGATTGGTAAGTATTTTTTTGCCAATCAGGTGATAGATCCACCGACACCCACCTATTCCGGGTAGGAAAGAGGTGGTGTCAGTGGAGGTGGAAGACGTTATATGTGAAATTTGGCAAGGTGGTGGAATTTCCGCCAGGCTTGGATCCTGCGGCCTGACCTGGTCGACGGTCACTGGGCCCGGTCTCGACGACCCTTTGGAAATTCACATTTATGGCACATGCAATTAGTCGTTGAGGACGAAGAAACTGGAAGAAACACAATTGCAGGATAAAAATAAATCGACTTTCAAAAAACGACTTTACTGGCTTGCGTGTCATAAACGTGTTCGCAACTTGCACTTCGGAGGTTGTCCCTTGTACAAATTGCTAGCCACCCGTGCTATTCAAGACGGTCAAATCATGACAAAGGGAAGGCTAAGGTCCCGTGGGTATGCCACGGAACAGTTGGAGAAAAGGCGTGTCGTACCGTGCTGGTCTGCATTGTCGGTTAGAATTGCTTCGAGATTAGGTCCTCACTGGTGGTTCATTGGGAGAATTAGGGGTGGAATTTTTGGATGGATTCTATTGTTCCAAAGTTGCACTCTTCAGGGATAACAGCAGATATACACAAATTTCTGATTCTTTTTCAGAATATTTGTGACAGAGGAAGATAAGGAAAATTTAAGTGCATGAGGAATTAGATCAATTTTGTAGGAACCTAGGGAAAAATATTGAGGGACCCAACGGGCATCGAACCTAACCTAACCTAACCTAACTTTCGGCTTAGCACGTCGAGGCTTTGCGCGCTACGCCAACCATTCTTTTACCACTTATTTTTATTTATTAACATGAGTGTACAGTATTACATTATATTTGTAATGTGACGGGAGGGGGGGCTATGCTACGCTTCCTATCCTGGGATATCTGACGTGTTGGGGTTGGGTGATTTCTTCGACCATGGGTTTGGGGGGTTTGATCATGAGGTTTGGTGCATAGGGACAATTTAAAAAAAACCTACAAGCGTGATGGGTGCACGCCAACCATTGTGGGTTTCCTATTTGGGTATGGAGGCCCCGATACTACAATTTGTTCTAACTTCAAAAAAATCTTCCCTGAAGAGATTAAGAATGAGATATATTCTTTCAATTTTTTTCAGGAGATTCGGATGAAAGTTGCAAGAACGTATGCAAATACTGTACCAAAATTTGGTTTCCAGTATGAGTTAGACCTGTTTCGAGAATAAAACAGAAACATTTCAAAGCGAAGAAATAATTTCTAACAAAATCGCTAAAAAAAAAAAAAGAAGAAATATTACACTCCTCTCCTCTTTTCAACTGTAATTACTTTTAATTAGGATTTAGAGAGGTACAAATCCAACGCTTCCTCTCTATCTCCGCTGATAATTCCTCCCGCCTTTATTTCCCCTCCAGCGGAACGCGTAAAAGGAAAAAAAAAAACTTTCAATTATTCCCGTCGGCTGGCGTTAATTTACAAATTCACGACTCGGCGGCGGCGGGGCGGGGGAGGGAGCGGGATAATTTTTACGCGTCGTAAAGCAGCGGCGGCTGAGCGTTGCCTCATAATTCGCGCCGGGAATGGAACGAGGACCGTAAGACGTCGTATTAGTTCTCTGGAAGCTGCGAGAGCGTAAAAATGTAGCCTCCCAAACAGGCCCGGAACCGTAATCTTTTGTTCCGGACGGAGAATAGAGAGGGTAGCGGATAGTTACTCCGTTTAAAAGCTCGCAGACCAAACGCCGCGTTCTCTTAACGAGAGCATGAACGCGACACTTTTTATCAACCCTGTTCGTTAACTTGGACTCTCCTCGTGTTATCACGGTTAGCCGACAGGATCAGACACAAAAGAGAGGTAAATAAAAGAAACGGTGGGTATAATCGGGCGTTAAAAGGGTGTATTTCATTATTCCAGGTCGC